TTTTTTTATATTGTAAGCCTCCCAATCACTAATATAGTGATTGGGAGGCTTACAAGATAAAAAAAATTAAAAGTGCTAAAAAATAATTAAAATTAGAATAAAAATGTTAAAAGTTAAGAATCTAGACAATGGGCAATCTGGTGATGAGAATCTTTTCTGTCTCGTCATCCTTCCCCAACGAATAGGCCCTATCAGCTCACAGGCCAAGCAACGAAACAAAGTTTTAAGGCTCTTCCAGAAAGCCAAGAATGTCGGTGTGGAACTCACCTGTGATGAGAGAATATTCCAGAGGATGGAGGCCACAACAGCTATTTTATCATACTTTGGATATAGCTTATAACACAGTTCATTTAACAAAACTGATTTCTCAAAGAATATGGGAAATCTATTAGCAGATAGGCAATCTGCATTTGTGTAGCTATATAGATTGCCTTGCATTAAAATATTTATTTGATTATATTTTTATATTTAGCTTTGATAAATTCTAAATATTTAAACTATATTGTTGTTAAACTATGGTGTGTATTTAAACAGTATATATTTATATGCAGGTATATAAAACAAGTTAATAAAGTAATTAATGCATTTATAGTGAAAAGCAATGTTTTAAAAGCTTACTTCTAAAAGTGAGTTTCCAGTAAGAAATTCCGTCTCAACTTCAGTCAGAGCAGTGGATTCTTGAACTATACCAACAGCCTTAGCTGGTTCCTTATCTCCAGATTCATCACTAAGGCTAGATCTGTACAAAAATAGCAACAATGTTAATTCGTACTTATTCTAGAACCATTTGTTAATACAGTAGTATTGGATTTAAAGTAGATTGGAAAACAAATCTGCCTTAAACATTCAATCTTTCTACCATAAAATGATGTCTTTATCTCTTAGAAACATCATTTTATAGAACTTGTCAAAAAGTAGTCCCATTGTGTTGTATGTTGCATGAATGAGGGAAAAAATCCCTTTCTCATCTATAGTTTTATTTTCCCAAATATCTTCTGTATAATTACTCACATCTAAGATGACTAGGCAAAAGGACAAACGGGATAGGATAGTTTTCTCCAAGCTAAAGCTCATCATATATGATCTCTAGCTAGCAGTTATTGAAGTTACCAATTTGGGATTGCAGGAGTTGAAATCCAAACTACCTAAATAAGTACTTGGTAGAACAAAGCCTAAGTAGAGGCTTGGTTTGAAAACAAAGTGTTTCCCAGCCAATGCCTAAGCACATACCATTTGTTGCTAGCTATTGTGAAGATTTGTGGCAAATGGGGGGATGGGGAACAGACCATGTGGCAACGGGATAGAAAGCATGTTCAGTTCTGCTTTAGAAACCTAATAGTTTATAGCTAAATAAGTCAATTTATGATAAGGTCCAAGGTCCAAGCATTAATTTGCTATCAGATTTGAAGATGTATTGCCTACCTATTCAAGTGGACCAGAAACCTATACAACCTGAATTGATCTGCTCTTAATCATGACAATACCATTGCATGCAAGCAACCATACCAATGCCATATTTGTTGTGCTTATATAATAATCTTCTATAAAGATTCTGTAAAATGAATCTTCTGTCTATAACTAAACAATTTGTATATTCAAAAACATTTAAATATACTGTTTCATCATGTAGTG